GCAAGCAGAGCAACGGCAATCAAGCACAAATACAACTTAGCTGATAAGGAGTTTGCAAGTCTTACAGGGATTTGTGTAAGGTGGCAACTGTTCGGCTCTGGCTTCGTTGATATGGCATGTAATCACCAGCCCCGACTCTCCTACTGGAGTAGAGCTAAGCTGACTGAACAGGCAACAAACTAGTAAAAAGATAAGCTAGGTAGAGCAAATGTCTATCTTTTTTACGGGAACCTCACTCTAGGTTGGGGCTGTTGAGTCAATTGTTCGTTGCATAGGCTGCGAAAAGTCGCAGTACCACTGCAAGAACTGCAAAGACTTGAAAGGGTGCATGAGGGGCTTGCATATCTGGTCGTCTTGCCTTAGTCGCCTGGAGTGGTCCGGAATTCGGCCCGCTCAGGCCCGGGTAGAGCATGACCTGCTGTCTCTGGAACTTATCGTGATAGTCGTGCTCCGTGTCACTCGTCACTCCCAAGCGACGAAATCTACCCATAGAGATCCGAGACAATGAGTAATGTGATGGTGAACGCCGATCGCCAGGTGGATTGCTCGTTGGCTTAATCGAGAGCAGTCACCAGCAGAAGGGTGGCGGCCAGGAGCCAGGTTAGCTCCGAGAATGTCGACTCTGAGATAGGTTCTCTGCAAGGACCAAATTAAGGCCAACACTAGCGTTGGGCTTATTATGATGGGAATAGTTGCTAGACAAAACCATGATCAGAGATACGGAGGCGACACGTTCCGGGGGGACTGGTTATTGTCGTTCAGCGGTAGAGACAGCGAACTAATGAAAACAAGAGAGACCTTACTTGAGAAGGACTATCCATCGCCAGGTGGAGTGTTGAGTGATTGCACCTCCGAACAACGAGCCCAGAAGAAGCGAGAAGACAAAGACCACTGAGATCATACCGGTATATTTCGCATACTTCTCAGGGGGCTCTTTAGGACGATAATCGTGCAGAAGAGTTGCCTGCACCACCGAGGCCTTGGAAGGCGCGAAAGAAAATCTTAATCGACAAGGGTTGGTATCCGCAGCGGGATGTTGTGCACCTTGCCAGTGATTACTGTTGGAACTCACAGTTTTTCCTTCGTCTGAGCAACACCACAGGCTGCGAAAAAGACTATAAACAACCCGACACCAACTAGAAGGCATGGTTTCCGACCGAAGATATCACTAAATCTGGCGGAGAGAACGAGGACTCCTGCAGAGATCAATCAATACCAGCAAGGGAGTTTGAGAGTGGCTACCTACCGGCATATCCAAGCATGTATGCCGTGGAAATCTTGTCCAGTCCGCCAAACTCAGTCGATATACTGATCAGAGAGGTTGTCACGACAGGAATCTCAAGATTTGTTAAGAAGAGGCACAGGCAAGTCTTTAAAGTCCAGGTAAGCGAGGTACATATCACGCATTATAGCAGAAACTTGGGGAGGTCAAACTCACGTCGCAGTCATTATATGCAATCGATCCCCGTAAAGGCAGGGTGTGGCTGCATCAAGGTCATCATTGGGTGCTGTTGCATCTTCTACAACTGCAGTCCGAATGATGCGAGGTTGCGCACCCGGTCCCGGCTTGGGTTCTTCCATGGTCGACAAAGAGTGTGAATATGTAAGAGGAAAATTTCGAGATAGAAATTGGAACCAGAAATAGTTCGGTTTGGGGACCCCAAAGACCTTAAGAGAAGATGGATGATTGTAGGTACCGTTCCGTCTCTACTGTCTGACCCGAATCTGATTGGTCCTTTCGCCTATAGTATCTAGAGCTGACTGCCGGGTCACGGGTGTGTTGTATGGTTAAGTAATGCTTATGTTGCCCGTGCTTTTGACCTTCCTTACTCGAATGTTGGGGATATCCTGCTTTACTCTCACTTTTAAATGTTTCTTGTTGAACATGCGAAGATGATATCTTTACCGTGTTCGGCCTCGTCCATGGCTGCAACCCGGAGCAGCCCTCCGACGGGCCTTCTCCGAGTACATCCTGATTTAGGCTGACCTGCAAGCAGTCATCCCGGCGCGTCTCAGTCTTCAAGATGCGGCCACGCTGGGTGTCGTCGTAATCACCATCGGGCAATCGCTTTATTAGAGCCTACGGCTGGCTCTTCCTCCATCCTCTCCTCCATTTTCTCCCCCATACCAACCTCTCCACCACAACACATCCTCTTCTATGGGGTTCGACCGCGGTCGGCACCGTGGCGATCCAATTCGCCAAGCTCTCCGGCTACACGGTGGTCACGACCTGCTTACTGCCCCAGCATGAGTCCCTCGTCCGGAGTCGCGGCGCCGACCAAGTCTTCGACTACTGCGACCCGGCCGCCACCAACCAGATCCGCGAGGCAACACGGCTGTTGGATGAGGGAACCATTGTTTCGCACCCCCGTGCGGTTTTCGGATGGGGGCTTGCCCGGGGTGATTCCGGGGTTGCATGCTTTGCGGGAGGGGAAGACGGTTCGGAGGTGTAAGTTGGTGTTTGACGTTGAAGAGCAGAGCGGATGAAAATGAAGAAGAAGATGATGTTTTTATTGTCAGAACGGTGGGTTTGTTTCCATGTAAAATACCGTTCACGTGTAAACCGGCTCTTCGGAAGGCTGTTGACTTGCGAAGCATGATCGAGAATTGAAAATAGCTGTGCACTATGATTTGGCTCGGATAGTTCAAGGCTATAAACGAAACCATGAATGTCGCATGTTCCTGTCTGTTAGTTGAAGACTCGAGGCTTTTATCAGACCAGGCCTCTCAGGCCAGGGGCGTTTGGTGGAAAGAGTGTCTCTGGTGCGCGGACCGAATCAGCGCCTGATACAAAAGAGTGCAGAGTTTTTGGAAGCCCATAGTTCCAAAATAGTATATACTTGTTTCTCTTCTGTCTTTCTTGGTGCTTATTTTTCTTCCCAAATATCGGTTTGATACAAGATTGACATGACATTCTGCGCTTATGCAGCACCAATCTAGCAGGAAGTGGCGCCGCTCATGCATTAACGATCTTTAATCGAAAGTTGCATCAAGCGCAACGAGCCAATTATATTGTACAAGGAAATTGATCCTTGAATAACGCTTGGGTAGTCACCTGGTGGTGTCCCCACTCGTCGCATCTTTGGATCGAGTATGTGCACGCAACATATGGACTTCATTGGCCACGAGTTTTCTTGGTAGAGTCATCGATGATCACAGAGCCTCAACTGGGCGGCGAAACTGTATGGCTAGAGAGAGAGAGAGAGAGAGAGAAGGAGTGAGAGAGACGCCATGCCCTGTTGCTGGTCGCAACAACGTAAACCCCCTATAGTTTTGTTCTCTTCAAGTCTCAAGAATGTTCTTAGAGAAATGCCCTGCATGAAAAGACTCACAGACCATACGGCGGGTGGAACCACCGAAGAGAGCGGGATAGAGCAGTTCGTGGGAGCACGATGCTCGTGAGTCGTGAGCCACCAATTTTCCCGCTACCCCTGACTTCGTTAGCCCTTCGATAGCCCTGCTGATAGTCAGGAATGTGTATGCAGGATCAGAGACGAAGGAATTGTTTATCGGAGCCGAGGAGCAAGGGAGAGCGCTAAACCATTCTAGAAAGGAAGAAGTGGGTTTCGACGCCGTATGACTGACGGTTGGTGCGCCATGTCATTCAGGTCAGCGCAAATCAAATGGCTCCCAAATGTGCAGTACATGTACACGCAGTGCATAATTCCCGAGCATTCCGAGTTAAGTAAGTATGAGTGCAGCCACCCTTGGCGCCGAGGCGGGCTTCTAGAAGGATGCCATGTTGTGCAATATAGTTCGGCTCTTGGAGATATATGCCAGCTGTACTTACTTGCTATCTGGAGATATTGAATCTTGGAGTGTTGTAAGAATCCTTGTAAATTTGAATTGCCTCGGCAACAAGGGAATGGTTCTCGAGCCGGATACACGGGCAAATTTCGGAGCTAGTGGGGGAAAGAGTCGGCCATTAATAAGAGACAAAGAAGAATAATGAGAATTGTGACGCCTTTCACTGCATTACTCTTCGAAGGAGTAATAGGATACTTATCACACCCTATTATTGCAGCAAGCCTGGAACCCTTTCCTGCTTGCCATGTGGTAAATGGAGACCAGGAGGTCGCATGGATTTTTAATCAAATTTAATAAGCTTAATTCACACCGACACTGACAGGGGCTGATCCATGTTTTGCTCCCGTCTGGTCATGGCCGTCATGGCCGTCATGCCCATCATTCCCTCTTGGGTTTGCTCTTCCCTCCCACGTCATGAAATTTGACTTGGCCTAACTCTCCATCTTCCCGATTCGGAAAGAGACAATAGCCGGCCCTTGTGGATAATTTATTACTCTATGACTAGTATCACCGGCTGATTCTGAAGGATTAACTCTAAACTTCGTACGAGGGAAATCCCAACCGCGGTCAGAACGTTATTCGTGGTTCCGACCAATCAGGCCAGCAGTAGCTCGTGCCGTCCTTGGATTCATTCCAAGTTCCATCCAATGCTTCTCCCACACCAAAAATTGTGCTACTCGGCAGGCGTCCGAATGCTCTCGAAGAAAGTCAAAACAATAGTACCTTTAGCACGCGTGTGTTGCTACGGATAACGCGAACTGCGCCAGAAACAAAAAAATCCGAGGACCGGCCACGACACGAGAGGAAAGATTCCGCATTGGTCGAGTCAGGAACCCGTTGCCCTGGTGGAGCCAGCCGCCCGGATTGGGGAAGCAACTCCGTGGTCGGACGGTCCCCGTTCTTGTCAGGGCTGTCATCACCGTGTAAGGTGCCCCATTCAGACCTCCCTCGTTCTCCTTTTGCCCGCACACACTCCCAACGCAGAGAATTTATTTCTTATTTATTATTTTTTTTTCTTTTATTTTTTTCCCCTGCCTGTGAGAGTGGTTGGTTGCCCACGCATGGTGTCGCAGATTCGCAACCTGCATGGCGTGGTTGTGGATCAAAAGGGGGTGTGTATGCAATTCTTGTTGAGAGAGAGAGAGAAAGAGAGATAGAGACAAGAGAGAAGAGACTCCTACAATAGGATAATTAAGAAGTGACTACATAAGGGCGGAGACTTTAATTGACCAAGAAACGCCCGCATTAACTCTTCCTCAAACTCTCCTGCCATCATTCTTTCCTACCTTTCCTTTTCTTATCTACGTCCTTCCACAGATTGCATCATTCCATCAATAACATCCTTCTAATCATCATGGCCGCTCAACATACCATCACGGTCCCCCACTTGGGTGGCATCGAAGTCGGCTATGCCCTGTCCAACAACAACACTTATGACCCCTCCAAGCCGACCTGCGTGCTCATCAACTCGATGTGCATGACCGCGTCGCTCTACCGCCCCCAGTTTGAGGATGCCGAGTTGACCAGCACCACCAACCTGCTGGCCATCGAGCCGCTTGGCCATGGCGCCACCCGCTGTCTGGCGCCCGCCGCCGAACACTTCACCTACTGGGACTCGGCTATCATGGCCCTTCAAGTGATGGAAAAATTGGACATCCAGAAGGCCTTTGCCCTGGGAACCAGCCAGGGAGGATGGGTTGTAGCACGCATGGCTCTTTTGGCACCAGATAGGGTTTGTTCTCACACTTCGACTATTTAAAGGGGGGCAAATCAACAATCGTATTGACTAACCTCACGTGCTTTCCTCTTTTTTTTCTATTGATAGATCCTTGGCATCCTGCCCTTAGGTACTTCGATGGACTACGAATCGGCCGACTCCCGCAGCAAGGACTGCTGGGACCCCGTCACCCTGCTGACCCCATTCCTGGAGAAATGGACGAGCGAGACTCCCACCCCGGATTTTGTGGTCGACGATGTTTGGTGCGGGATGGTCGCGGGGATCGGCTTCGGGGCGTCGGGAACGCCCGAGACGACCGACTTCTGGGTGCAGACGCTGAAGCAGGTCTACACGGGGGATGAGGGACGCAAGAAGGTGCGCATGGCCTTGATGTGCCTGTTGACGCGGGACGGGCTGCTTCTGCGGCTGAAGGATGTGCGGTGCCCCGTGTATTGGCTCCAGGTGAGTGAACCTTCCGGCATAAATCTGCCTATGGGAGAAGCGTCAGTATGGCTAATGTGTTGTATTTCGTTTGGCTCAGGGGACGGAGGATTTCCCCTTCAAGACCACGGTTCCCGCAGAACAAATCCAGCGGTTCTCCGCTAGTCAGGAGGCTAAATTGCAGATGGTGGAGGGAGGGGCCCATTACCTGAATGCTACGCATCCGCGGGAGGTTAACGCGGCGATCCGTGAGATGGTCACTCGCTACGGTGCCTGAGCGGGCTGCAGGGGAAGCTACAAGAAAATAATGGATCTTAGGCTACTACTGAAGGGGCGCAGATAGAATACGAAGAGTAGTACACTGTTAGTGTCAGGAGAGAGTTGGAATAGTTCAGGAACGAAACGAACTGCATGCCAATCAGTGCCAAGTGGGCAGGACAACCCGACGCTGCTAAATGATTGACACATCGGATGGGGCGACCTCGAGTTAGGGTCTTTCTAGTGGCTTCGACTACTTGGAGCCGGGGCATCCTTGGCCGAAGGTTGAGTAAATGTTAACAAGCCTTGGCCGCCGGACTGGCCGGTCCAGCCCTAATTGGGACAGTGGAACCTGAACATGTAAATTTTTTGACACTGACAGGCGGCGAATGACAGCTCCATGGCTCGTCAAATTTAAGCAGTTCGTTTTTCTATCTCTCTTTGCTTTTTCTTCAATCCCCAAAGTTCGGTTCGAGGCTACACTAGTTCCTTGTTGGCCACGCCACGCGGCGTAGAACTACCCCCCCCTCCCCCCAAAGTACGAGTAAGATTCGACTGTGCCCATCCCCAAATGTAGCGTTTGTCGGCAGCTTCGGGCAGTGGGTCTCCTCCTAAAGGTTTTCTCCATGCACGGCTCCCATATTAATAGCGATCGCCTGCCCACCTGAGATTGATGCGAGGTCTCGCTTTCCTTGGCCAGCTGTTTTCTTCCCCGGCGTAAGTGGTCATGGCGATGGATGAACAGCGGTGGGCGACCGCCACCACCACCTCAGTGACGGTGCTTGCCTTTCTGTGTGTTGTGCTGCGGATCGTTTCTCGACTGGAACGTAAGCAGAAACTCTGGTGGGATGACTGGATGATCATCTTTTCCATGGTATGTACTCGGCGGTGTACTTAGATCCTCTCGAATCACACTGACACACCACATCATCTAGGGGTGGAACTTCGTCGTGGTCGGCTTCATCTATGCCATGATCCACGAAGGCATGGGCGTCCACGCCGACCAATTACCGACTGGACAAGTCATCCTGATCGCCAAATTCCTGGTCGTGGCCGAGATCCTCTATGTCTTCAACCTGGTCTGGACCAAGCTCAGCATTCTGCTGATGTACTACCGCATCTTCCGCTTTGCTTACTTCAAACGCTGGGCCTATATCATCGGCACCTTTGTGATCTGCTGGGTCATCTGCATCACCTTCTTGTTCATCTTCATCTGTGTCCCCGTGCAGAAGCTCTGGTATCCGAGTCTCCCCGGCCACTGCATCTCCCAGGTCGGCACCTGGATCGCCAATGCCACCTCGACCATCGCCACCGACCTGGTGATCCTATTCCTGCCCCTACCTCAAGTCTGGAAGCTGCAGCTCCGCCTGTCCGAGAAGGTGGCCTTGACCATCGCATTCGGCCTAGGGTTCTTGTAAGTTGCTCCGGAGCATCATTTAGCCAGCCCTCATATAAACGGCCCGTCAACTGACACAAAAACAGCGTGGTCTTCGCCTCCGCCTACCGCTTCAGCGTCCTCTTCTCCTACACCGCCGCCGACAGCTCCTACACCCTGGCCCCGACCGTCGGCTGGACCGCAATCGAGATGTCGGCCGGCATCGTCTCCGCCTGCCTGCCGACCATCCGGCCCGCGCTGCAACTCGCCGCCCGCACGATGGGCATCCAAGCCGTCATGCCCGCCATCTTCCGGAGCACCGGCCACTCCGCCAACCACCTCTCCTCCAAATCCGAGGCCACCCAGCTGGGCAGTCGCTTCGCCGCGGGCGATATCCCACTTTCCACGGGTGGCGGCGGCGGCGGCGGCGGCGGCGATGGGGGGACGTCCTCCTCCCGCCCCGTCGTCCGCCATTCGTTCTACCATCTCCCCGACGAGGGCGAGTTGTCCGAGATCGACAGTGTCCCGTTGAAGTTGGATGTGTCGCTGCGGCCGAAGCATGATCGGGGCCAGACGGTTACCAAGATCCGCGGGCGGACGAGCGTGGCGTCCGGGGAGGACGATCTCCTGCCGTTGCATGGGATCCGCGTGCAGAAGGACTTTAGGCAGGATGGGTAGGGGCTTCGTTTGTTTTTCTTCTTTGTGTGTCAAGTTATTCTATAGCGGGGGGCATATTTGGGAGTTTCCTTTTGGTATTGAAGTATAATTGGGTGGTGGTCTGTATGTATATAGTGTATTTATATCATGTGTATATTAATGGTATGGCATAATGAGTGTCAATGTCGAGGCAGTGTTGACTCGGCGGAGCTGGGATTCCACGAGGCTGTATCTTGCTGCAAGTGCCTGTGCCTGACCTTCACTTTAGCTTTCCTTTTCCCCAATAATCTTCTCATCCTCTCTTGCGGATGAGGATGGAAAGACACGAAGACGGTGACTATAGTAGATGTAGAAGCCGACGGTAAGACTTACGTCTTCTATAATATATCCAGAGCCATTACCGCTCCCCTCACATAACACACTCTTCATGCTGAAGAGATATCTCGCCTCAGTTGAAAATTCAATGCCAACGTCACAAAGATAGAATGGTCAAAGAACGTGGTCGATACTTCACCAACGCCTTGTAAGGTACGTGGAGCTGGGTCCCGCCGTCAAAGAAAAAGAATGCTATTCCTGTTTACCTTTGTTCTATTGTGTGTCTTCTACCCCCACTCCAATCTTTTCCAAGTTCCCGTGGTTTAAATTGTGACGAAAAAGATTGAGAGTACACCTATAAAACCCTTCCTCGCTCTCCAACCCACACGATCTCCACACAAGCATACTTAGCCCAGCAGACAAGTCCACAAGCAACCTTGTAGACCAAGTACCTCACACACCCCCACAAGTCAACACCCAAGCACCAACACCGCTAAAGAATGTCCTACACAACGCATCCCACCCCCCTCACCTGCATGGTCCGGTGCAACGCCAACGCCAACGCCGTCGACGGCTTCTGCGGGCTCTGTCACGAGTCCCCGGCGCACGGCAGCCCGCTGAAGTGGCATTGTACCGGGTGCAGTGTGGATTTCCACACCGAGTGCTTCCGCCGGTGGATGGACCACGCCCTGCGGGTGAGCTTGGTGTCGACCTGCCCCAGCTGTCGGTCGCGGTGGGAGATGATCCTCACGGGGCCGGAGGCGAGGACAGCGACGCAGTTCCTTAGTTTTGGGGGTTGAGCTTGGGTCTGTGAGTTATGGGTGTGGTAGGATGAATTGGTGAACCGGGGTATATAGGTGTGTAGGTAGTGGCTGGCTTACTTGAAGGATGTTGAATTTACTCTCGGCAATGAATTGGGTTCTTTCATTATTCTGTTTTTGGTTTGTAAGCTCTCGTAATCATGGAGATATTGTGAATTTTCAGTTTATGCCAATAATTAGCCGGATTTAGTGGATGGGGTTGAGTCATTTAGATGCGAATAGTACTTGCATGTTTGTGATGCATCTCAGATGTGTGAGCACTGTGCACGTCATATCAAGGTTGTAGGAAAAGAATGCAGTCTAAATTTCTTCACATAATTTTACAGTGGCCATGCATCTTGAAACTGTCAGCAATCAAAGAAGCACTATAGAATTGCCGAACCAAGGCGTCAGTCCTGCTGGTTCTTGTCTGCGTAGTGGGGTCGGGCTAAAGGTGAGCGGTGGGTCATCGTTCTTCCTTCAGCCTTCTGCCCTCCGCAATCGAACATTCTTTAAAGAGGATCGATCAGTCGCACATATCACTCCCATCCATCATATCAAGTTTAGACAACAGGCCTATCTGGCTGGTTCAAGTTAGCGAGAGTCTCCATAAAGTCGTGGTTGCGAATCGAGTGAAGGCCACGATGGTGAGGTGCACCCTGACCTCCACAGAGGCTATCTTTGCATTACATGCATAGCTTGTGTCTACTGCTACAGAGGACGGCTCGAATAGAGCGGCTGTTTCTGCGATTGATGACATATCTTTCAATGCTAATATAGGAAAACCTGATTTTATATTGTGGATGATGAGGAGTCAGTGGAATCGCTGGTGGTGCTGGATTCGCGGCTGTTACTCACCACAATCCGGTTTGCTTCTCGGGTGAAATGGAGGTGAGGTACGTCTATGGGCGGTTGCTCGTGGCCTGTCATGGCTGGGCAGTCGGCGCCATGTTTGCAGCTCTCGAGACCGTTGTCTTCGAATGCTTGGCAGGCTCTCCCAGTGTGCTTGTCCGGGATGATATAGCCACTGAAATCCGGGTAGTCGACCTCCATGCCGTAAAACTCGAGGACCGGCGCTCCGAAAATGGTGTATCGGATCTTCTGGTCCTGGAAGCTGGAGACTACAAGTCCGCTGTAATCCATTTTTTGTACAGATTTGGGTGTGGTTTGTGGTTCTCGTACAAAATGAGTCAGATGGTCAGATGGTCAGGGGGTTTGAGACTGTGAATGATACTTTCGGTGTTGCCGGGTGATCGAAATGTCTCTTTATAGATCAGCTTGGGCGTACTTGTCTTTCAAGATGGTCTAGGTTAAGAGGGATCTACCATGCGGCTGGGTCTCGAGATAATGATCCTGTCGTGCGATCTATGGCTGACTTTCAGCTCTTTATCCTAGATTATGGAGTCTGAGATGGAATCAACGAAGAAGATATCCTCCGACAGTGATTCACACCATTCTTGCTACTGAGTGATTACTCTCCACCAAATCATCCATCTAAAACCGTCCATGCCTTGTGCTATGCTCCTCAGGTAAGAGTTACGGTAAGAAGGTAGCCAGTATCATGGCTAATAGACACTTCGAATATCGCCAACATCGACCTATTATAAGGATGTGAGAAGGAAACGGTACTTCAGTACAGCTCCCGCCTGAGCATCACTACAGCATTAGCACATGCATAACTCATTACTAATATATCCACTATCCACACAGTCACGGGACGGGACCCTCCCCTCCGCCTCGGCCAGTTCCACCGCCTACGTACATCAAGCTGTCAACACCACCATCATCATCACCACCACCATCCCTCTATTTAGTCCACAATCAACCCAGCAATACCGTTACCATTACCGTCTCCATGCTCCACCACCTCCCAAGATGACGGACTTAACCCCAACCCTCCACGAGCTCCTAAAAAGCAAGCCCAATGCCCCGCGCCTCTCGAAGGGTTATCTCTCCACCGAGGCGGCGGACGAGTTCCTCAAAGAAGCCTACCGGATTGTACGTGCCCCCAGTCTACCTTTAAAACCCCCTCCCGTCCTCGAACCCAACCACAAACAAAACCACTAACCCCCCC